TTTTTTTTGCTGGCTATGAGACAACAAGCACTGCTCTTTCCTTTACTACATATTTACTGGCGATTCACCCCAATGTTCAGAAGAAACTTCAGAATGAGATTGATGCAGTCCTGCCCAATAAGGTGAGTGGATGGTGCTGGGAGCCTCAGGGAAAATGTCAACCTGAAACACTACTTACTTACATTTAGAATTACAGTAAATACAGTAAAATTGATTCTTTTATCAATAACCTGTGGAAATCTAAAACAAAGGAAAAATTATGTATAGAGAAAAACTAATCTCTCTAATTCTGTATTGATCCTATAATATGCAATGAAACAGTTCAAAAACATGCATAAAAATCTCTTCTGATTTTTAAAGATAAGCAAGTGTCAGTCAAGTGTCTGTTACATGTGTGTTTTGTCTGCATGTATATCTCTGTAACATGTGCATATCTGAAACACGAGAAAGACAGAAGATTTCCTCAGATTCCCTGTAACTAGACTTCTAGCATATTTGCTCACCATATGGGTACCAGGAACTGAACCTTGGTCCTCTGCAAGAGCAAACAGTGTTCTTAACCACTGAGGCATACCCCTAGAACTTAAACAATTGATCTGACAGCTATGTTATTATTACTGGAAATACTTTGGCATGACTGATATCACTGGTGTTTTGTGTGGTCCTTTCTGGGCAGGCCGGTTCAGCTATATCTGTATTACTCCTCTCTCTAGTCACATAATTAGATTCAAACAAAGCACATCATGGCAGCTTTCAAGTTAAAATGTTCACTCTACATTATGGTAATGTCGGAGTCCCACAGTGTGAGAGCCACACATCATATAATCTGTCTTCTCATCTATGCCCAAAACTGGGTGCAATGGGGTGTAAGGTACCTGAACTCTGGGAATGGTTGGATTGTCAATGACATGCACACAAAATGTCTTCAGACCTCGTACTCACCCCCTGTTCTTGTTTCATTCTTCACTGTGACAAATGGCATGACTCAAAACAACTATGGGGATGAAAACATTTACTTCATCCTGCATTTTCACATGACAGGCTATCACTGAGGACAGTCAATGCAGGAACTCAAGACAGGAACTTGTAGGCAGGACTGCCTGCCATTCTACACAGCACTGCTTCTGACCAAGGTACTCACATACAGCCAAAGAAGCACAGCAGGAACTATAAAGGTTGCTGACTGCCACCTGGCCAACTCAATGACATAATATTATCTAGTTGTTCTCATGCAGCCCAGGGTCATCCACTCAGGAAACAGTACTACCTGCAAATTGCTGGACCCTCCTATATCAATGAACAGTTAGGGCAACAACTCCCCCAGATATATGCACGATCCAATCTATTCTAGCAATCCCTAATCTTTCATTTTAGACCTCCTTTTCAGCTGACTTGAGCCTGTGGGAATTTGAAAGTTAAAGATTTAGTAGAACAACATATGAAGTAACAAGGAAAAGTTCCTTTCAGGAACTTAGCATGGAGCTGAAAGGGTCTCTCACTAGAACAGAAATTTTTTGCTCAATTTGTCTCCATTTTTAGACTGTTTTACCATAAAGAGTTTCAAAGTGAAAAGATTCTACTGAAGTTAGTCACTGTAAATTCATATGCTATTCCTGTTTAATATGGCATTGATCTTTAAATTGAATATCTATAGTAATAAATTAAATTTAATCATAGGATTTATAAGTGTGAGTTTTACTCTGAAAAGATTGATATAGAATTTTAAACAGGAATTAAATGTCTCACACATTATATTTCCTCAGTCTGGACTTGTGGATTCCCTATATTAAATTTTGACAACCTCAACAGCTGATGTATGTTGAGTGAGATTGACATAATATGCCATTCATTACTACTTAAAAGAAAAACAGTACGAAAGAAAACTGAAGATTTGAAACCAAATCTAAGCTTATGTGAATGTTCTTCCATATTCACTTCACCATGCATTTCAGTGGACCTTTAGTATGTCAACACACATGAGTGCAGTGAATTGGATTTATCAATGATAAATCCAATCATTAATCTGGGTTGAATGTGGAGTTCCAAAAAAATTAATAGTATTGTGTAGATTGACATGAAAGTTAGCTTTAAATCTCAAACCAGCAAAGTCTTTTTTTTTTTTAAATTTTCTCAGGCACCTGCTACTTATGAAGCCCTGGTAGAGATGGAATATCTGGACATGGTGTTGAATGAAAGTATGAGAATATATCCAGTTGCTACCAGGGTTAACAGGCTCAGTGAGAAAGATGCTGAAATCAATGGTGTGTTCATTCCCAAAGGGACAGAGGTGGTCATACCTATCTTTGTTCTTCACTGAAATCCAAAATACTGGCCAGAGCCTGAGGAATTCTGTCCTGAAAGGTACAAGAACCCTGAGAAAGGGAACACACACATAACCAGACTTCTTTCAGTATGTTAAGATGTCTCTTACTTTAATCACTTAAATATAAATGTGTATTGCCTTTCTGTATGTAAGTTTGATTTTAGAATTCCAGTAGTACAAAATGATAATTATTGTAAAAACTACAGACATTTTAATGGAACAAAAATGACATTTCTATATATTATAATTTTGTTTTAGAGTCCTAAACCTGTCTTAGTTAAGGTTTTTTAATGTTGTACAGAGATACTATGACCATGGTAACTCTTATAAAGGAAAATATTTCTTTGGGGCTGCCTTATGGTTTTGGAGGTTTAGTCCATCATCATCATGACAGGAAACATCATGGCAACATGCAGACAGACATGGTGCTGGGCAAGTAGCTGAGAGTTCTACGTCCAGATCAGCAGGCAGCAGGGAGAGAAGAAAGACAATAGTCTTGGCTTGAGCTTCTGAGACCTCCAAGCCCACCAGCAGTGACAATTTACCACAAAGACCAGACCTCCCAATAGTGCCAGTCACTACGAGCCTATGGGGCCAATTTCATTCAAACTACTATAAAACCTTAATATAAATTCCATTAATATAATGATATTATTGGACATATTTCGAAGTGTGTGTAAATATGTAGATATTAGAAAAATCATCAGTTTTCACATGTTTTTACAATTGCTGATTACTCTCTATAACCTATAATTGCTATTTTATGACAGGTGCTTGAGTGTGTGTTTGTGTGTGTGTATTTGTGTGTGTGTGTGTGTGTGTGTGTGTGTGTGTGTGTGTGTGTGTGTTTGAAAGAGAGAAAGTACAATTACCATGATTAGGAAATCAATTATCTTATTTAAGTTGTGAAGTTTATATTTCTTTACTCTGGACCCATCCCAAAATATAGGAATAATTTCCCAAATATAGGAATCCATTGTATTAGCCATTGGTGTAGGTAGAGGTGCAGAAGCCTCCTCTCAGATTGTTTAAGGTGCATCGCTGAGGATGAATGCTAATACAAATCCTCTTAGTCTTATTCCTGACTGTTTTGTGAAGGAAATTCCCTCACACCTATCCAGTGGTTGAGTTCTCCAGAGTCAAGTAATCCACTCATTAGAAAGTTGTTATTTTAATCCTTCTGGAGTCTGAATCAGGGTATTCTGTTATTGGAATGTATTAAGCAGTCTATGGGAATTGTTGCTAGGTTACCATTGTTGCCTCATTAATAAAAATACAGAATCTTATTTTATCGTAATTTTTTAAGTTTTGAGAATATAATTTGGTATAACATTTCTTCATTCATTTCTTCACTGCAAATACTCCTATAGATCCTTCCCCACATTTTTTCAAGTACATGGCCTCTTTTTTTCACAAAATGTTATTTAGGTGCTCACATATAGGTGTGTGGATATACATATATATATTTCTATAAATAACCTGTCCAATCCATATCATGCTACTTATGTAAAAATTATATTTTTAAGATAAATGCAGCTGAATCAGGAGGCCGAGAATTTAGCCATGTAGTAGTATCTTTTATGAAATTCTTGATGCCTAAGGCCTTGTATTCTTAGCCATGTGTCTCTGGTGTTGGCAGATGGTCTATGGATAGTGCTTATTAGAGGTGTAGAATGGAGTCACCTAATTCCTGTTTTCTAGTTAGGTGATTTCTATATCCCTCTATATAGACATCATTTCCACCCCTTGTAGTTCAGTGGCTCCAAAGTTGGACATTATTCATTTTGCATCTCTATTGTTACTTCTGCTTTCAATCATATAATATAGACACAATGTTATCAGTGACTAGACCATGGAAGAGGAATGAAAAAGTTACAATATATTGATGTTTTAATCAAATGCAGTACATAAGATGTCTACAGAAGAAAGCCAGTGTTTCCTATGTGTGTATGTGTAAAATCTTCCCAAACAGGATTCCACCAAGTTCACCTTACACACATATACAAGTACAACTTTCACTAGACTCCAATGCAGTTCTGTAAAATAGCTTAGAAATGATTTCTTTATCTTCCCTGATACTTAATAACTCTTAGAGAATAGATGGTTATTAGTCCTCTACAACATTTCCAGAATCAGCATTTTTATTTAAATAATCATGTGAGAAATCCAACTTTCATTGGACATAGGTCTGTACTTTTAGTAGTCTTTCCACTAATGGAGGAGATGGAGAAAAAATTCAGTGATAACAGAGTAGAGAAGCAGCATGTGTCCTTTGAAACCACTTCAGTTGATAACTCTTGTAGGTGGGAGATATAGTCGAAAATTATGTGAAAGGGACTTAATGAGGAAGAGGAGGAAGAAGAGGAAATGATTGGGATGAATAGAATAAAACAAGGACAGGAAGGAAAGAGATGATGGTGAAGAGAGAATGGAATATTAATAGTTCATTTGTAACATACATGTCCTCATTTTCCAATGAACAAATCCCCAACTCAAGTGTCATGGTCAGGGCAATTCCTTCCTTCTTCAATTTTACTTTCTGATATTCACACACTGGGAACAAAAGGCATCCTTAATATTTTCAACTGTAAAGACACATTTGATTTCAATGAGCATTGGCCACAATCATCCTATTAACTACAGTAGCTCCTTTGCTGTAAATTTGTAAAAAGGACTTTATCTTTTAACTCTCATAATGAATTAACTCATGCTGATTGGAATAAAGAACATACTGGAGTTACCTGTATGATTCTGAAAACTGTAAACATGTGGGTCTTGTCCAATTAATGTTTCATTAATTGTTCAATTGTAATATCAGGTTCAGCAAGGAGAATAAAGATAGAATCAATCCTTATACATACCTGCCTTTTGGACATGGTCCTAGAAACTGCATTGGCATGAGGTTTGCTCTCATTAACATGAAGCTTGCAATTGTCAAAATCCTACAGAACTTTTCCCTGAGTCCTTGTGAAGAAACAGAGGTGAGTCAGAACATTATTTTGGCATGTTTTTGTTTTTTATTCATAGACATTTTCATAAATATGTAGCTATATAGGTTAACTTATGTATGAAGTATACATATATATGTATATGTAATATACTGTTTTATCTTTAATTGATATTTTCTCTGTCAGAGATCTATATAAATCTATGAGTGAGCTCTAGGGCCCTTGAATTCTGAAATAGTTAGTCTGTGTCTAAGTGTAAATATTAAGATCATGTAGAGTCATTGAAGATAATCTTTTTAGGTTTATATATAATATCACAGAATTTGAATATTTTTTTCTTGTTACAAGTATATAGGCCTTTTTAAAATAACAGACTTTTTATAGCATTTTCATACCTGTATGTACCATACCTGGAAAAGATTATTTTCTTTTTATTTATTCTTTTCTCATAAAATGCATTCTGACCACAGCATCCTCTGCTCTTCCTCCCCTCATCCCAGTGCCCCCTCAAATTCCTCTATCTCCCCGATCCACTGCTCTTCCAATTCCCATGTGAAAATGCCAGGCCTCCCAGGGATATCTAACAAACATGGCATAAAATATGCAATGAAACTGGAATAAATGCTCATGTCAAGGCTGGGTTAGACAACCTATTAGGAGGAAAGAATCCCATGAGCAGGCAAAAGAGTCAGAGACACCCCTACTCCCACTGTTAGGATTCCTACAAAAACCCCAAGTTAAACAACCACAGCATGTATGCAGCAGGCCTTGCATAGACCCATGTAGGCTCCATTATTGCTGCTTTAGTCTCTGAGTCCCTATGAGCTCTGCTTAGTTGATTCTGTGGGCCATGTTCTCCTGGTAGCCTGAAACTCTATGGATCTTACAATCATGGAACATATTTTTAAATTTTGTTTCATTTTACCTATGTATATGTACATGTTTTGTCTCTTAGAGGTGTAATGATCACTTTATGATCCCTGTGTGATCTCAAAATGTCCCAAATGTTTCACCCATCAAAGTGGCTTTAAACATTCTACAGTGGTTCAAATTTATAGACACAGACAAAAATCACTGCATTAAATCCTTCTTAATGGATACAAAGGACTCCTCTTTTTTTGGCCATTTTGTGCACTTGTCCTCACATTTTAGGAACTCAGGTCTAGACTAGCAGGGATATACGTACATTCTTATGAATCCATGTTTCTTAGCTTCTTTATTCATTATTATTTCTTATCCTACAAGTTCATATCAATCAAGTCCCTTCCAAGCTAAGAACGTTCACTAGATTTTCTTGGTGCACTTTACTCCTGTCTTCTAGATACGGTGTCTTCAAGCTGTCACTCTTCACCAACCCCCAAACCTTTGAACTACCCCATGTACTTCCCACTGTTATTTTATCTTTGTTCATCCCCTAATTTCTAAATTACCCAATTTTATTCTCTCCAGAAAATAAACTGGTGTCTTGGAGGACATTTTTATATTAAAATCCTGCAATAAATACATTAAACATTTTAAACTATTCTAAATACTAAAAACTGACAAAATTATTTTTATACATGCATTTCTTTATGTATACTTTTAAACATTGTTACTAATCCTTTGAGAATTCATGCAATGCATTTTGATCATATTCACTCCATCACCACAGTTTATCCCATATTCATCCCCACCTCACCTCACACTCAATGTGTTCTTTTTCCATTTTTCTCTCTAATTTTTAAGTCAATCAATCCATTTTCTGCGGCATGACTGCTCTTATCTGTTTGGCCTGGTCTGGAATCTGGTTTATTTAAGAGAGTTCACATCATTAATAATAAAAAAACTACATTTCACAGCAACTATCAAACATTATAGCTCCTCAGCCACGGGTGGGACTATGTTTCTACACACACACACACACACACACACACACACACACACACACACACACACACACACACACCATTTTGGATTGAGTTTGCATATTTTACATGTCTTGTGCATGCTGCCACAGCATTGTAAGTTTATATGTGCATCTGCCCTTGTCTCTCTGGAAATACTATTTCCTTGAAGTCTGTGACCATGTCTAGCCTTACAAATCCTCAGCCCCCTTCTGTGCACTGTTAATATAAGGTGTCACATTTATAAACATGTTTAGAAAGATCTCCTCTGAAGAACTTAAGAATATGTTGTCATTACCTTAAATGAAGCAATACCAAACAAGTTTAATTTCATGACCCTTGTATTAAATATGACTCAGTAAGTTTTCCTCATGGAAGAAGAATATTATGTGGTCATTATCCTTTGGTGACTTTAGGTCAGCTGTCCTCCTGCTCTGTACTTGAATACAGTTCAGTAACTTTGTTTTGATGAAAGTCAATCTGTAGGTAGCTGGCAATTTTTAACAAACTCAAACTACCTACATGATGGCCTTTCTCAAAATATGAGACAACAATTGCGTATTTTTCTGCTGATATATGATTATTACTCTGTAAGCAAGCCTTCTCTTTCACAAACTGACAATAATATCATTTAAAAAATTAGTCAAAATGAGTGCAAATTCCCCTTTTAGCACTATCTTAGAATTTTAGAAGAGATAGAGAGGATTAATGTCATAGTGGTACCTAAATTCCCCCCACGTTCATGAACCCTCATGTATCAGATTGGAAAGTAAATGCATTGTGATAGTATTATCATGTACCAAACCTACTCATGGTTTTCTTTCCAGTTTTACAAAATGAAAATTAACTTTATATCAACCTTTAAAATCTGTTTGCTATGTGTTCACAAGTGTTCTCTACAAATTTCAAATTTCTAATTTTCAGTTAAAATTTAGAACAATAAAGAAGACAACCATCTCAATTTTGTCTCAGGCCTTTTACACATTAGGTGCTCCATATGTATGTTGAAGTATGAATAGATTGAAGCATGTTTTCATTTTCTATATAAGCAATTCATGGCGTTTGGTGTTTGTCTTAATTGGAGATTCTATTGTAATGAAGAGACACCATGACAATAGCAACTCCTATGAAGGAAAACATTTTTTATTGAGGTGACACCTTACAGTTTCAGAGGTTTAGTCCATTATCATCATGACAGAGAGCACAGTGGCCTGGAGGCAGACATGGTACTGGGGAATTCTTTATCTGTATACAAAGGCAACAGGAAGTGGCCTGAGACACTGGACATGTGTTTATCATATGAGAACTTAAGGTCTACCTCCATAGTGACACACTTCCTGTAAGACCACATCTACCCCAACAGGACCATACATCCTAATAGTGCCACTGTCTTTGGGGGGCATTGTCTTTGAAAACATCACAATGTTAAAAAGTCTTTTATTCACTTGTAAAGATGAATTTATTTATTTCTAGAAAGCAATCCATATTGTTCAAGATAGTACAGAACATGCTATGTAAACAATCAAGTCTTAACCTTGTATTTCTCTGCCCTCTTACTTCTGAATGCTATGGTCACAGCCATGTGACAACAGAGAAAGAAACAACTATTGTTCTTAATATATTGGTTCTACCAGCCTTCTGTATAATTGATGATTTATTTAACTCATCAATGTATTTATTGAACTATTTTAGGTTCCCTTGAAATTAGGTAAGAAAATGACTCATGCTCCAGAAAAGCCTGTTGTCCTGAAGATTATATCAAGAAATGGGGCAATAAATGAAGGTTGATTTTATCTCAAGTTCTGGTATGTTCTTCAAAGAGTTCATTCTAAATACGTGGATTTTAATTTAATCTGGAAGAAAACCTACATGAATATGACTTTAATCTACAACACTTAATGACACAATCTTCAATTATTTTTATTGTCTTGATTTTGTGTATAGACAGAAAATAATTATTTAGCAATCTTTATGTTCTCTCATGTCGAAATTTGCCCATTTTCCCAAAGATAAAACAATATGTTTCATTTCAATACTGATAAAAGATTTCTCCTTAATTTTGTCAATAATGTTTCCATTATAGAATCTCTAATTTCCCATTTATGGGTGAGCATTCCACTGACAATTATTCTTTGCACTTTGATGGATTGTCAGCTTTTTGTTAACCACTATCCACTTCAAAAAGAAATTTCTTTGATTATATCTGAGGGCTATATTAACATATTGGTAAAACATGCTAATTTAGAAGGCAGTTGGATATTAAGACCATTTATCAGAACAATAGGTCCATTCTTGTGTCTGTGAGCTCCTCAACCATGGGTCCTTGGCTAGAGAATAAACATATGTTTCCTCCCATGGAATGGAGTTAAATCCAAATAGAAAGTGGTTGACTATACCCATAATATTCATGCCATTATCCCATATATACATGACATAATCTTGCCATGCTGGTTATTATGGGAGTTTATGGGATTCACTGCTAAGTAAGAAAGACTGTTGATTTCTTTCCCCCTAAAGAATCCTCCCAACCACCTTCCAGTACTGTAAAAGATTGTCATCAAGGAGAAAGTTTCCTGGTCAGTACAATGTTGACCCTGCCTATAACCAATGTGTTTTACTGTCTTCTGCTGTAGGATCTTACCCTCATGTTCTGCTTAGGAACCTAGAGCAATGGGAGACCCCTGTAGTTTTAGGTGTTGTTCAGGACAACTCTGGTGAACAATCTGAGTGTAGATATCCTACATCTGGTACATGTACAAATACATGGGCTATTTATTAGACACCTTTGGCTTCTGAAAGGACCATAATCCTCAATTTATGACATGTTTTCATATGTACATGTAAAGATGATGAAAATGTAGCTTTCCATCCTGGTTTGTTTCAATTGCCCACAAACTGTATCCAGTCCTCACAAAGGTACAAACTGAAAGTAAAACAAGAGAGAAAGAGAGATGACTGATCCTTGTACTAGAATGGTCAGGCAAAAGACATCACTACATTCTGCCAGGGGTCAGGAGGGTACTAACAAACTATGCATTCTAGAAGTTCCTGTTCATTGGGTGCCAGCTATGGGGTCTCCTTTTTTCTCATAGCCCATTGGCCCACAGGCTACAGGGAGAAATGGAGCAGAATCACTGAGTAGGGTTTGAATGTCTAGAGTATTATGGAAAGAACCTCTGAGAGTCAGCTTAATTTCATTCCAGAGAGTGAGGGGGAATATATAGGATTGGGACACTAGCTTGGGCATCACATGCTCATAGTATTCTTTGTTTGTATTATACTGGGACAACACCCTGGCAAAGAAGAAAGAGGAGGAGGAGAAAGGAAGGGAAGAAGAAAGAAAGAAGAAAGGAGATCAGGAGGGAAGAAGAAAGGAAGAAGTAGAAAAAAACAAATAATTTAGTTTTTAGGAGTGATCCTGTCTCAGGTATTCTATAGCAACATAAAACAAAAAAAGCAATAATGACATCTAAGTGGAACAATTTTCACAGCCATGTATTTCCATTTACCTATTTTTGTAGAAGTACTTTGTTTCCATGGTAGTACAAGAATGTTGCACCCAGCCCATGTGTATCAGTTACTTTCCTCCTGCTATCACAGGACATGATGCTCAAGACAATTTATAAAAGATGTGATTAATTGGAATTATGATTTCAGAGAGCTGTTTTCATAATGGTAGATTAATATCTTTGGGCCTCCAACCTACATATGGCTCTCTGCAATGTCTTCCTAGCTGCTTTAAGGATAGGCCATTAAATCCTAATTATAGCATTCATCCTATCTTCTCATTTAAAACTCCAAGGTCATTCACATTTCTCTAAAAACAACATAGGCAAGCCTGTCACAGCAATAGCCCACTCTTTGGTAGCACCTTTCTTCTTACTTTTTTTTGCTGAGTTAAAACACCATGACCAAGACAATATCTAAAAGAAAGCATTTAAGTGGGCTTAGAGTTACAGAGTATTAAAGTTTGTAGTTGTGAAACAAAGGCGTGCAGACAGGACATCTGCAAGCTCATATTTGGATCCAGAAGCAGGATACTGAGAGGACACTGAAAAAGACTAAACCTTTTGAAACCTCAAAGCCTACTCCCAGTGACATAACTCCTTCAACAGGCCTGCACCTCATAATCCTTAAAGAGTTCAATTGGAGAACAAATATTTAAACATTTGAGCCTATGGGAACCATTTTTATTCAAATCATTAATCCATTGAGTGCTAGCTCTCCATAGATCCGCCTTCACTGCGTTTGTGCTGCCTCTACAGACATTTTGCGATAAAATACTTCTTGGGGTGCCTGGTCTGGTTTCCTTTAGAATAGTTTTGTACACACCTGCCCTACTTTTCTGTTACCCTCAATGCATCCTAGTACAGTGAAATCCTAATTCAGACAGGTGCACTAGGTCCTGCAGACCAGGAATATGCCTTGTGATTGATCAAAATAGAGTGTTGTGTTCTTGAAATAAGAAATTGTGTAAATTGAGTTGGTAAGAACTCAAGGAAAATTTTTGGGGTTTGTGTTACCACAATGACATGTCTCCACAGAAAGCCCTTACCAATGCCTGAATAATTATGCATATTCTTTTATTGTATGGGTAGTGAATTCATTATTTCCATTCACTCATCAAAGAATTTTTTAATTTAGGTGATAGTTAGAGATAACATCTTGGGAACTGAGGAGATTTATGAGACTGAAACTAGTGATCCTTTTTTTTCTCTGCTCCATGAGGTTCACGGAGTTCATAAATCTGCATGAACTTAAAAAAATACTTTATTATTTCTAGTGATTCTTAAGTTGTTTTCTTGTTTGTTATGGTATATACAATTCATCTCTTTCTTTTTAACATTTTATTATATTTGAAAATTTTATCTGTGTGCCTATGTGGTCTCCATCTCATGTCACTGCATGGAGTTGGTGGGTATGCTTCTCTGGGATTGCTCTCTGTGTCCATGGGCAGTTATTGAGTCAGGCCAAAGATTTTGCATATTGGTATGTTTGGTTCGAAAACAATCTTTCATCAAGAAAAATACATATACCAAAGGCTAGAGGGGAACCTGATTTGACTAAAAAGACAGCCTACAACAGCCTTCATGTTAGGTGTCCTCCTAAGCTTTGGACTGGCTGCTGCAGGGTCTGGGATATCATCTTTAATGGTACAAGGCAAATATTACAATGACTTACAAGCTACCATCAATATAGACATAGAAATTCTTGAAAACTTTATTGCCCACCTACAAGCCTTGCTGTCTTCTGTTGCTGAAGTGGGTTACAAAACAAATGTGGTTTGGACCTCATATTCTTACAGCAAGTTGGGCTATGTGAAGCTCTTGGAGAAGAATTTGTTTCTATGTTGACTATTCAGGGATGATAAAAGAATCACTGGCAAAGTTCAGAGAGGGGATGGCAAGATGCAAAATGAACAAGAGCAAACAGAGAGCTGGTTTGAGACACTGTTCAACTCATCCTCATGGTTGACTACTCTGATTTCCACCTTGCTGGTTCCCATACTGATTTAGTTACTCTTACTCACCTTTGGTCCCTGTGTTCTGAACAAATTAGTTTCCTTTATTAAGGGATGGATAAATACAGTACAGGTGATGGTGCTGGGGTCTCAGTACCTATCCTTAGGGACCCTCAGAGAGAACCCATGATTAGGTCCTGTTAAGTAACATCTATTTGGGGAAATGAAGAACCCAGTCCTTTGCCCAGACCCTGCTTTGGCCCTTCTGCAGCCATGGCAGATTGTGGAATAGACCCAGCATTATGGAGGCACCTGGCTCAGCAAGATGTGCCCTTGAGCCACTGACCTTGATCCTAGCTCTAGTTATTAAGAAAACCACACCAGAAATCCCCACATGGTAAAAGAAACCAATTCAAAGTTACAACTAGCAGGCTCATGATAAAGATAAAATGTAGTAACCACAGCAAACACTTTAAGAGGTAAAATCTTTGCTGTGGCTGCAACTGACCAATTAAGCCAATGACAGCAAGTCTGGCTAGGAGGTACCAATCCTGAGTTTGTTCCTTTGCAGCCCATAAAGCTCCAAATCCACCTTGCTTTATACTCTATAAATACCATGCTCCACTGCTATGAAATATGGAGGAAGAGGACCAAATTAACTTGCAATAAAAGACTCTTTGCTTTTGTATTAGATCTGTTCTCTTGGTGGCCTTTAGGGGGTCCAGATTCTGGAAATACCACCACCATGTGAATCCCAGGATCAAACTCAGGTTGTCAGGCTTGGCAGCAAGAGCCTTCATCTGCTGAGCCATCCCATCAGCCTCCTTCCTGTTTGTTTGTTTGTTTGTTTGGAGGGTGGGGGATGTGGGTGTAGGTACATATTTTGGTATATCTACTTCTGCATGCATTTGTAGAAGACAGACTGTTAGTGTCCAGTATCTTCCACTATTTCTCTTATGTTTTTTTAAGACAGGATCTCTTAGTGAACCTGGAGTTCATCATTTCAGCAGGACTAGCTGACCAACAAGCCTCCAGGTTTTGTTCTATCTCCACCTTCACACTTAAGCATTCAAGTGCCTTACCCACTAAGCAGTCTTCTCAGCCTTCTTTCTCTCACCTGTAAGTTTGACTGTAGTGTGGCTGTGGAAGTGCCATGGATGGATTGATAAAGTAGAAGGATGAGCAAAAAGGCACTTAAAACATGTCTTTTATTGTAAGTGCAGTTTCTAGTGATATTCTTAGAAAACTGTAATTTATAACTGGGAAAGGAGAACGGCCTTAAGCAAATGTTAATTATACTGGAATTATTGAGTCTCAAATAGAGAGAGGACTCTAGCAGACTCCTGGATGAAGGGCTCCTGTCTCTTCCCATGTCCCATATTTTCCCTGATTCTGTATCCTACCTCATAAGCAGCTGTCACCAACAAAGCAAGAGAAGGGACCACAGAATGCCCATTACCTGGAGAACAACCTGCTGTGGGATGTTCTGTATGTCCTGTGGGAGCCCTTCTTGGGTTCTTTGTGGCGTTACCCAGCAGGTCTGCATAGAGGATGATTAGGACCATGGGCCTGAGTGCAGGTGTCTGAGATGGTCTGCACTTGGCT